ACGGCCCGCAAACCCCCCCCCCCCCGTCCTGGAGGTCCCCAATTTTTTTTCTCAACTTCACGGGTGCTTTTTCCCTTACATAAAGATTTGTTGAGCGGGGGGCGGAGGCAAATGCGAAAAGAACGTCGTGTTTTTCGTCATTTATCATCGTGTTTGAGTGTAATTTTTCATTTTTTTCCTCACAAATATCTACTTGCTTTCATTTTTAATCCGCCCCAGGTCTATTCCATGGGAAATTTCCCACCATTTCAGTCAACTTAGTTTCGCACTAATAGATTCTAAATTTAAAAAAGAAAGAAGTATAATTAGCTCAGCTCATATTAATATAACCAGATTCATGTGTAACGAGTAGAACTATTGTCAAAAAAAAGGATAGTAATGATTGTTCTTTTCAAATATCTCAAGAATGGGAATGTGCTAGAGACATGCGATTTTCAGAACACTTTGGAACATCGAACTGTAAACAAAAACAGAGCTGAAGTGAAAGAACTGAAAACCTAGCAGCTCACTGTTCGTTGAAAGCACAACGAATTTTGAGCTCTAATATGACCATCTGATTGATCAGTTATAGTTCACAACACTACCAAGTCCCAGATCTCAATTTATCATGGCTACAAGATTCTTCCAAAGCCATGCCTATTCCGCAATCCTTCAGTCTAGAAATCTTGAAGGAGTTTTGCCCATTTCAAAGGTGGGAAATTACCTCTTGAGTATCGCACACATTTGGAACTAAATTCAACTAACGAGTCCCTGCTTAGTTTTATGTTAAACTAGACTCTCAACTATGTGCACTGCTGCGAGTTTATTTTTCAATTAGGCTTTTGCTTGTTTTTCTCTAGATCCAACAACTTCACAGACCGTAAAACTCTTTTGAATTTTTCAAAGATCCTTAATTTTTTAAAAATAGATGACCTATCTGAATAATCCAGTCCCAAGGTAGTTGTCCTGTTTAAATTAAAAAAACCGGAGCTTTATATCTGAAAGTTAAGTTAACAAAATGTTTACATACTTCGACTCGATTTTTGTCACTGATTCCGAATATAATATTTTCATTGCGTGAAAGTTGGGTCCTGATGGAGAAGATTGCAAATTAGGATTCGAATTTCGATTTCTCCCAGTAAAGTCGACTTTTCTCAGTCAGGAAAACAAATTTCAAAAAACTGGCTGCGTACTTTTGAAGAGGAGAACCTCGGGAACTAAACCATGTAATTATTTTGGCTCTAAGACCTTTAAAAAAAAAGGTTTGTAAAATCCGCGGCAGTTTTGAACTACACGTATTTTGGAATTTTTTTTGTGAACGGGCGGTCGGTTATAAAAACGTTCTAAGATCAGTTTCCTATTCGGTTTTAATGCTGAATCCAAAAAACTTTGGTTCGGTTGGTAAAACCAAAAAGCGAATAAACGGCAGAGATTTTTCCAAAACTAGCGTTTTTCGAGTTTTAATCGCTTCAGAGTATTCCAATTTTTTTTACCTAAAAAGAGCCGTCAAATAGAATTGAGGAACATGTATTCGTGATCAGCGTCAAAAGGGGAATCCAAATATGTAAAAATATTGAGAAAACAAAAATTTTATGATAAATCTGCTTTCTGTGTGCCTTACTTTTTGTCAAAGACGGACTTACAGTTGCAGAATGGCATACGAGACAACAGAAAATGATTAACTGTAATCCTTGGAAAAAAGGTTTTGGTGGTATTTTTAAAATTCGAATAGCAACAAGGAAACAATGTTTGTCCAAATATAAATGCAAAACACATCAAAATGTTTGCACTTTTCACTCATATAACCAAAACATTGATCGGTGAAAGTTGATCTTTTAGGCAAAAATCTGTTAAAGATTATCAAATATGTTTTTACCGTAGTTATCCTATCTTCCATTTAACTGTTGTCATTATTATATAATATGATCTCAATGCTTCAGATAGTGTACGTGACGATAAATGTTGTATTCCTTCTTTTCACGCTCGAATTTCACATAACCCAAGCAAATGATTTTGCTAGTATTGTTTGTTCGTTATCTGGACAAGCAATATGATACCAACCACTTGCCTTCTGTAATTGTAATCGAATAACATTTAGATCATGAGACACTATGAAATTTCTAGATGAAAACAACAAAATCATGTACAAAAAATTGGATAACCTTCTAAACATACTTTGTGCCGCGCCATTTTTTATCATCACCAATAAAAAATTCATTTAAAAATTCTCTTCTTGTATCTGTTCTTAAACGTTTAAAATCTTGTCCCGCAATATCTGCTGTATCATATTTTTTTCATCAATATTGCTTGGTTGACATCCGGTAATTCATTCTGCTTCACTCACATAACCAAATATTTAAAATTTGTTATAAATTATTACAATATAATTTATATTGTCTTTCAGCATCCATTTTATATATTTCATAACCATCAACAATTAGTTTTTGATCTTTGATATTCACGCAACTGCAGTTGATTTCCGAATGGCTACAAACGACTTGAAAAAGGCCAAAACATTCCTGAGAAAAAGCGTTATAGACAGCTAGGAGACGTCTTATTTTCCTCAGAATTCTTTGCTCTGTCAGGCTATATGGTTCGCAAAATTTTCTGACCAAAAACCAAGGACTTGGTTTCTAGCTGTCAGGTTTTCCGGAAACCCTATCATCAACTTTTCTCATAAAACAGCGATATGTACCCCATCTGATAGAAAAATCTTCGGGCTATCCAAAACAGTATTCAGATTGGTTCCAGCTTTTACCAAAAACAAAGGAGTTCTTGCGGTTATGACACACTGTACTGCATAAATAACATCCAAACGCTTCTCTTCGTTATCGTTAATAGTTGGCCCCACCTGTCGGGATATTGTGACCAGCTCACTTTGTAGAGAATTTCAAGGGCTATCCAATGGTATGTTCTTGAAAATATATAATTTTTATTATGGCAGAAAAATGACTAAAGGAGTGTTTAAAGCATTAAGACTGGTGAAAATTATGACATTGGCCAAGTCTTTCGACTATCGACTCATGTGGGCATGTTTTTGAAAGAATTATTTGTAGTTTGCCTTCAAGCTTAGAAAATTCCCTATCTTTCTATATATAAAACGTTCCGGGTCGGAGCAGATGAGTTCAAGAAATATTCCTTTAAAATGTTAAGATAGGTGAAAATGATGATACGTGACTAGGATTTCGAGAATTGTCCTGTATGGGCATATTTTTGAAAACCTTGTTTATAGCTTATTTTGGAGCCCAGAAAATTCTCTATAGTATATATGAGCTTTGCTCAAAGACTTTGAAGCCGAACGAGAAATTTGCGGAAAAAGGTAAATGGCTTTTGTTGTACTGGTGGCGAAAAAATGAAAAGTAATTCTTTTTGAAAGACACCAGAAGGATTTTTTGAAAATGGGAAGTGCTGGGCAGTACCCTCACCCTCATACAAATATGAAATATCTCGAATGTGAATTTGAATTTGTTAACGATGGTATTTATATGTTGCCAATGTTGTTAACAAAAATGATGAAAATAATTGAAATTCATATGAAAGTGTTAAAAACGAAATCAATATATGATATCGGTGCAAAATATCGATCCATAAGAAAATTTTCAAAAGAATTTCGAACGAATGTTGATCGTCTGTTAAGACGACAAATGAAGCGACGACAACAACAGTTTGATGTCAATTATATTGGAACCCACGTATGTATTTGGATTGGAAAACAAGATTATAACCATGACCATGAACGTGAAACAGTCAAACAATGACTTCAATTGATGTATAGAAAAGGGTTGGGATGGGTGTAGATCATTTCTATGCACTGCGAGATAAACAGGATGACTGACTCAACATGATTCTGCAACATGATGAATTATATTAGGTCCATTAGGATGATTATCAGTAACTGTTCGTGGTAAATGAAGTTTTAATTCAGAATCATCTCGTTTATTAGGAATTAATGGTAAAACTCTTTCTATTGCTGTTTGTACATTAGTTAAATTATTTAGAGATTCGAGAAGATTAGGCTGAATTGTCGCATTGCCTTCAATGTCATATGCTGGTAATGGTTTAATCATGACTTCTAAAATAAGACACGATGCTTTTAAAATATTTGAAGGCTAACTGGAGTTTCTCCGTGTATTTCATCACATAATGGTGATAATTGTTGACAACTATCATCAATAAATAACTATTTTCATGTAATCCAATTTTCTGTTTTACCATCTAGTAAATCAAAGAATTTTAATAAACCAGTATATTCTGAAATGGTCTGAAAGACGTTTCTTGGCCATTATCATTATTAAACATTTCTTGGAAAATTGTTAGTTTTTTATCATCATCATAATGGTAAGAGATACTATTGAATGTTAGACATAAATTCAAATAATCATAAGTAATTTCTCCATGGTCAAATTTTTGTAAATATTCAATGTATTCAGCATCCATTTGATCACTGTTTGATTTTTTATGTTGAAATGTAGTATCTAAATAAACATCGTTTTCTAGAATAGTGTACGCTTTGTTCAATAATTCTGTCGACTAACTATCTAATATATTTATATTTTCTATAAAATAATGTGGACATAGGCCATTTGCTAATAATTTACTTGCATAATCAATCCACTGTTTTGATAAGTTTTTACATAAAATATCTTCACTATCATACGTATTTAAATCTATTGTTTCACACATCCATAACACTGTTAGTTTAATAAAATAGGATGACAAGCATTTTTCTTTATGTAAATATTTGTAGCAAAATACTTCTTGCAATACCATTTAAAATTTGTTGTGCATACGTACGACGTTTAGCTAGTATTAATTCGATAGCTGAAAATAAATAACGAAATTCAATCTCTTGAGATTTTTCGGGAGTTTTTCCTGACCGTTTTGGTATAAAATGCATATATGTTGTTTTTATTTGCTCATATAATATTGGACGAGTTGACTAAAAACGTTTTAAAAAGGAATTTTTAATATCATATGGCCAAAAATTTAATTTCTGTGCTGGAACAACATCCGTTGTCGATACATCAGATTCATCGATATTCAGTGCTATGTTTACTGCTTCAGAATTAATTATATATTTATATTTAAGAAAAAAATCAATTAATAATGTTATTTTAGTACGATTATCATTTGACAGTTTTTAACCAAATATTGGACTTGTTAAACAAAGTGCATCTCGTAAAAAATTCATATCATATGGTAATTTGTTTGTTGACATTGATATGGCTGGTTCTATTTTTTTTGTTAAATTTTTAAATTTTGTTGAGAAAATATTTGAATCATAATAATAACCATCTTGTACTCTTTTTCTAATAATTATTTGTAAATTATCATGAAAAATTTTTGCTAAATTATTTGAATTAGTTTTAGTGTTTGCTTGTATGAATCTGCTGATGTTTACAAATCTATGTTAAGTTGTCGAATATTTAAATTATTAATAGTATTTATAACCATTTCTTTTATCTTAAAACCATTAATATAAACTTTTTCATAATCATTATTTTCTAATTTTAAATAAGAATGTGATAATACATTTAGTTTCATATCATTCCACTAAATACGCACAAAACCAGGCACATTTGGTATTAGTATCAATTGATCATTGGAATCTAATTCACCAACTTCAATTATAATATCAATATCTTGCATTTGTTCATCTTTACGCAAATGATTAGCATAACCTTGGCCTTCAACAAAACTACCAGATATAAAACCTCCTAAACATTATTGTATTTGTTCCATGTTTACACTATGTGAAAAAAACACATTTCAAATGGTAGAATAGTATGAATAAGTATGAATAGAATAAATCAGGATGACATTGTATGATGAGTATATCTAGATGGGGAAAATGAAAAAATAAGCATTTTATCTGTCACGTGACGCAGGATTTTGTCAAGGAAAGGGGATTAACCAATGTCACAGTGGAATTTATTGTATGGCAAACGGATATGTGACCTTATTGGTCGAAAACGGATTCTTTTCAGCTTAGAAATGATTCTTGATCACTCAGAGAATAACGTTCAAGCCCATCAACTATAGTTTTTTGTAAGAAAACGTTTTTTTAACCACAAATTCGTGCAGGAATTCTTGACCAAAGTTTTTCGAAAAATATTTATTTTCTTTAAAAGAATTTGTTTTATATATCATTCGATCCAGTTTCGCCCACTGATTCTGAATATCACCTTAGTTTTTATTGAAAGTGTTTCTGCGTTGAGAAAAATGGATTTTACCAGAAAAACACATCCCTACATTTATGCAATCTAGAAGCAGAAAGGAAGTGGAACTACTAACACGAAGTACTGTTGCCCAGCCTTTTGGATCGTTGTAGATATATATGCGTTATTTAGGTTCTTAAATGTGATTAAAAAGGTTTCATAATAAATTATGAAAAATAACTGTTTTGTTTTGGCGTCTAATTATAACCTAAACTAATTTTAGTTGTGTTTTCTAATCGTAACATGGATTTTAGTAATAGTTGTTCATTATCATATTTATTCGAAGGATTAGTAGTTTGTTTATTGTGTGATGAATTCGCACATGCGTATTATTATCATATTTTGATCAAAATATTTTCAAGCATTCGCATAATCACCACATGTTTGTTAAATTGATCTAAGTTTAATTATAAATGGGCATAAGTCGAGGATTGCTACCAAATTCTTTTCCATACAGTAAACCAATTTCCAGTGTCATTTTTAATGGATTGAGTTCATTAGTGATGATTAGACGACGGCAGATGGAAAAATCAGCCAAAACTGAGTATATAACTGACGAGGGAACTGAGTATATTCCCTCGAGGGAAGGCCACCAACTGCCCCATCGCTTTTGGCTTAAAACCTAGTGGACAATAGGTAATCGACCATGCTAATGCCGAATATGGTAGCCGTTTTTCCCCCGCAGGCGTTTTCTA